GTTTCAGCACCCCATTTGTTAAAAAGACTCTTTTTGGGCCAGCCCCTAGTCTAGAGTTTAAGGCAGCTAGATCCCACATGGCTAACTGGTTTGAATCCTGGCCCTGATGGCTTGAAAAAATACATAAGGCATCTATGTATGCATGTCCAATATCCCGACAGGATAGAGAAATGGAGGAGAGGGGATTGCAGTGTGACCATGCTGCCTCATGGGACTCCTTTCTCCCTCTGTTTCTCTCTGTGTGACAAATGCACATTCCCATGGCAATAAAAAAAGAGACTATTTAATAATATTTTATTATTATTATTTTAAATTTGCTACAGGGCATGCACACTCACCAGACACACACACACACACACACACACACACACACACACAGAGAGAGAGAGAGAGAGAGAGAGAGAGAAAGTGAGCGAGCAAGTCACCAGGTCTGGGACTCGAATAGCAGTTGGCCATGTGGGAATCCAGTGCTTTAACCACCATGCCACCTGCTGGCCCCAACTATTCTGTATTCTTTTTCTAGTGAAGTCCCTTTACTGAAAATCAATCTGTCATAAATGTGAGGGATTACTCCTGAACTTCCCATCCTGTTTCATTGACTTACACGTCTGTCCTTGTGCCAGTAGGCCGCTCCCTTTATTATACAGTGACTTGGTAGTAAGCTGTGAAATTGAGATGCACGAGTCCACAACTTTGTTCTTTTCCAAGGTCTTTCTGTTGATTGTATCATACAGCCAGAGCAGTGTCAGGTGAGGAAGTTTAGGAGCAGGCAGGGCCTGTCAACCTGGTGGGGACGTCTGTGGAGAGGGATGGGATAGGATATCTTGGTGGGCAGATGTTGAAGTCCTTGGGTGAGGAGCTTGTGCCAGGCCCCAGAAAGTCTGAAGACCTAGTCTTCATTGCTGGGAATGGGAGTCTCTTCAGTGGCTGCTGTCCCAGACCCCCCTGATCCCAGGCCTCTGTCAGGGCTGGGAGGTCCTTACAGGCCCAGAGCCCTCTTCTGCTCTGGCAGGCTTTCGGAGGTACCAGATCCTAAAGTACTTCTTGGGATGTGTAGCCCCCTAGGTTGGAGTTGTGCCTCTGGCCTGATGTCCCCTGGACTCTTACATCTCCTGAGGCCTCGGTCCAGGATCTCACTTGTCCAGTCTCAGAGGCGGCGTCCCTGTGTGGGAGCCTCCTTTTTGCAGTGACAAGGAAGGGCTGAAGGAGGCTGGCCTGCGAGGCTCATGATTTGCAGGTTCAGTGAAGCTCGCCTTGCAAGTTGAACCATACCCACGAGTCCCAAGAGATAGCCCCTGGAGCCTCCTGTGCCCTGGGTACCCCCCAGCATGAGTCCCAGTGAGATTCTCACAGTTGTCCCTTCTCCAGGTGGGTGCCCTGGAGTGGGAGGCTGCAACGAGACTCGCATGCTGGAGATGCTACCCCGCTGCGGGGAGGCCTTCGCAGACATGATGCGCAAGGTGGACGTCTGGAAGTGGTGCAGCCTGTCCGAGTTCATAGTGTGAGTGTCTCGCCGGACCCAGACCAGAGCACTGAGCCCCGGCCACACCTCGATCGCCTTCCACCAACGCCGAAGCCGACGACGACGCCCCGCCCACCGCACGCTTCCGATCTGCTCACCTTCAGCCCACGCCCCGCCCACCGCCCTCCGACTCCTCCCTCACCCCTCCCCCGCGCCCACGCCCCGCCCACCGCCCTCGGACTCCTCGCTCACCTTCCTCCCGTGTCACGCCCCGCCTCCAGAGCACGCCCCAGCTCTGTCCATGCCCCGCCCAGGGGCGCGGCCTGCACAGGCTCACCTGCCCACGCCCACGCCGACGCCCCGCCCACGGCACTCCTTCAGCTTGCTACCTTCCTCCTCCGCCTCGCCCCTTCCCAGCATCCTGTCCCCCATCTGGCCCTGCTCACTCTGGCGTTCTAGCAATTCCACACCGATGTCCCAGGGACTGTGCGGCTCTTCTGTATTGTCTGGGAGTCCTGCTTGGTAGCCACGTCCCTTCTCGATCCGGGTTGGTGCCCTTCCCTGCGCCAGGCTTCTCCGCACAGCCCAGGACGGGTGGAAATCGTGGTGTGTGGTCTTCCCCGCAGCACCGCCTGGGGGCGGTCTGTCATCGGTGGACAGGGAGCCGCAGAGGAATTGGGTCCCACTGGTTCATACTGGGTGTGGTGGGATGGCTCGTTCTGAAACCTCCCGAGCTTTTCATCTGCCGCAATCACGCTTAGCATCAAGCCACAGGACCCATCGTCCTTTCCTCCTTGGAAATAGCCCACCGGGCCTTCCCCACGACCTGCTCTACCTTCTCAGTTCTGGCGCCTGCTGGCCGCTGCAAGCAGACTTGGGCTGTTCCCTGTTCTCATCCCTTGCTGGCGTCCCTGCCTAGAGCCTCCTTCCTTGGGTGGAGGCGCTGCACGCGGCCCCTCCCTGGGAAGCTGGTCTTGTGTCTTTACCACTCCCACCCAGTAGCCCCTGGGCTTTCTCGTCCCCACATTCTAGTGTCTTCTGTGTTCACTTCACAGGTAGTGAATGAAGTATGTGGGTATGTGGACCCAGCCTGCATGGAGGAACTGTTAGCTGAGTCTGCTGGGAAGGGGGCTGGGGGTGGGGCGGGCTAGGACTCAGCAAGGGATTTGGCCAGGCTCCTCCTTGTCCTTGGGGAGCCAGGCCCAGAGGGGCTGGGTGGGTTGGGGAGCAAGAGAATGTAGCTTCCAGAGAGGAGAGAGGCCAGGAGCAGGTGAGAGGAGCATTCAGGAGAGCGGGTATGCAAATGGCACGGACAGGGAGCCGGGAGCTGCCAGAGTCCTGTTGATGAGGCCTCCTAGGACCTGGCCTACTTGCACCAGGTGTCCAGGGAGCTGTTGGGGGAGCAGCAGGGACATGCTAAAGCAGGAACATGCTTGGAGCTGGTGAGATAGGGGCTCCGGTCCCAGAGGGAGGTTGGGACAGCAGCTGGCAGCATTCTCGTGGCTCCAGGAGGGTAATCCTTAGGGTAGGGGCTGTCCTTGCTGAGAGTGATACCAACCTTGAGGAAAGACCTGGAGACAGGGACTCCCAGGAAGCTCCAAGACAAGCCCCTCCCAAGCTCCAAGTGTCCTTGCTCCCAGTCGCGAGTGTCTGAGAATGGTCCCTGACATCTGGTGAGAGGCTCTGACCCTGAAGATAGAGGCCCAATAGATGGACCGAACAGCAAGAAAAGTCCAGCGTCTCCCTCAGAGTCTTTGGAGCGGCAGACTACTGCCCCTCATGGGATGAGAAGGAAAGTGTTCTGGAGCTAGGACTGGAAATCAACATGATAAAATTGGACACGAGGGCCAGCAGGTGGGGTAGTGGTTAAGGTCTGCACTGTCATATGGCTGACCACAATTCCAGTCCCAGACCTAGAGGCTTGAAACTTAGACTGGGCGCGTGCATCCTTCCACTCACAGGGGCCAGGGCAAAAATGCTCATGCCAATCCTTCTCTGGAAAGCTGTGGACTGGCCTCGGCTGACACTTGCCCAGGGTCATCCAGGGTCTCCCCCTTCCATTGGGCTCCCCAGAACACCTTTGCTACAGAAGATGCAGCCTTGGACTAGCTGCAGCATGGCGGCTCAGGGCGCCGGATTACACAGGGCCCAAAATCCTGAGAGGAGATTGGAAGAGAAGGGATTGCAGCATGGCCATCGCCCCCAGGGGTGATTTCTAGCTTTCTGCCTCTCTCTCTGGTGAGTGCATGGGCCCTAATAGAAAAAAAAGTTTTTTCTTTTTTTTTAAAGAATTACTTATTTAATTTTATTCATTCATTCGTTTTGAATTTGACCAGAGAGAGACAGACAGACAGACAGAGAGAGAGAGAGAGAGAGAGAAGGTGAAAAAGCAAGTCAGAGAGAGAGAAGGTGAAAAAGAAAGCCACTAGGTCCGGGACTCAAACTGTGGTCAGCCATGTGGGAGTGTTCAGTGCTTTAACCACCATGCCACCCGCTGGTCCCCCAAAAATCTTAAAAAAAAAAAAAAAAGTGAGTTACAGAATGGAAAGACAGACAGTGAAAAGAGCTCCCAGGATTAGGAGAGAGAAGCTGATTAGGGAGTCAGAGGTCAGTCCTGGTCTAACACCGGCTGGTGGGGGGTCTAGAAAGATCAAGAAAGAGAACAGAGGTAGAGGGATGCACAGTCCTCTCCTGGGACTGAGGGCACGAACCTGCAGACTGCAACTGTGGAATATCAGACCTGCGAAAACAAAGGAAAACATCACTGCATGTCCAGAGAGAGAGGAAACAGGTCCCACCCTGGAGCTGAGGGGACAGGAGGACTTCAGGCTTCCCCATGGCTGCCCTGGAAACCAGAGGATGGCAGTTCATGGGGACATGGAAGTCCTGAAGGACTCTGATTTTTCTCAAGTGGAAAGTTATTTCTTGTAACCCCTCAGGGCAGCCAAAGTATATCTCTCCTGGGAGTCTCCCTCCAACAGCAGGGCGCTGGCTTCATACCCAGTCAAGAGGTGGTTGCCACCCGGCTCCCAGAGGCAACACTGTTGCTGGGAATATGAGCCCAGGTTGTGAAATGCCAGCATGCAGTGCTTACGTGTGCAGAGGCAGGCTGGGGAAGAGGGAGTCTGACTGGGGGTTTGCGGGCTCTGCTGGGCTCTGCTCCTGCTGTCCTGAGGTGTGGGTGTCTCTTCTTTGTCTTTATAAAAAAATTGTCAGAGGGTGGGTACACGTGCAGGAGACAGAGAAAAGTGAGATAGCACGTCCAAAGGGGCATGGTCACGCCGTAATCCCTTCTTCCTCATTACTCCTCTTGGGATTTTGAGCACATAAGCGCATGTGCCTGGCTTGTCTTCCAAGCCACCGGGTCCGGGACTTGAACCATTCACTTGGCCATAGGCAATCTGGCTCCCTGAGCCGCCATGCTGCAGCTAGCCCAAGGTTGCATCCTCTGTAGCAAAGGTGCTCTGGGGAGCCTGATGGAAGGGTTAGGCCCTGGATGGCCCTGAGCAGGTGTCAGTTGAGGACAGTCCACAGCTTTCCAGAGAAGCACTGGCATGAGTGCTTTTGCCCTGGTCTCTGTGAGTGGAGAGGTGCTGTGCTCAGTTCTCCCCAGAGCCCAGAGCCAGGGCAGGCTCACCCAGCCCCTCACCCAGACTGGTTCTGTGCCAGGCACTGGCTGTGCGTGTGGAAGCAACTCATTCGGTCCTCTCAGCTCATGATGAGTGTTATTTGCCCCATTTACAGATGAAGAAACAGGCTCAGGAAGGACAAATAACACAGCAGAGGCCCAGCTGCAGGGGCCATTGCATTGGTGCTGCCAGCTGGGCCCCATGCCACTGTTCATGCTGCCTCTGGGCTCGCTCCCACATGTGGGCTTTCCTGTGTGGCCCAGCTCTGGAGGAGTGGATGTGGGGACTGGGCTTCGAGCCTGGTCTTGTCTTCTTTAGGACGTCCTAGAGCTGTCCACATCGCCTCTCCTCCTAGGCTGGCTGTCAATAGCAGGTCTCCCCCCGGGTCCAGCTGGCTGTCATCCCCCTCAGTCCAGCTGGCCCTTGTGGGTGGCACCGCTGGGTAGGAGTTGAGTAGAGAGTCCTTGGGACATGGGGGTACAGCACCTGGTTCTCATTACACGCCAAGGTACTGGGGACATCTGAAGGTCAGGGTTTTTCAGGTGTTATTAGATGGCTCCATTGTTCCCCTATTGGCTGGCTAGGGGTAGGTTGGGGTGGGCTGAATCTGGCTCCCTGTGGGAGGAGCACACAAGATGAGGAGATGAGAGTTTGCCCATGAACTGTTGGGGTACTCGGAGCTTGGACACCCCCTGGGACTGCATTGTGCAGAGGCCTAAGAGAGCCTATTGCCCCGACAGGATTCAAGGATGGTCCCTTTGTTTCCAGCTCTCCGAGCCAAGGTCACCTGGAAGAGCATAAGTCCGTGTCTGACCTGTATTATGGAGTCGGCCCCGAGAGCAGCCGAAGATCAGCCAGGAGATGGGCTGGCAGACCAGGCCCAGAAGGGGTGGGCACCAGGAGGGCCCATTTCTGATGTACTGGGAAATGAGCATGAGACCATGTTCCATTCCGGAAGCTCTGGTGGGAAGTGGTGCCTTCCTGTTGACAGGTCACATTGGTCACTCCCTCCCCAGGAAGTGCAGGAAGGAGGAGGGGGCACCACCCTGGTTCCCATGAGGAAGCCAAGGCAGGGCCCTGCCCTCCTGCAGCTCCAGGTGGGAAAGTACTAGCCTGAGCATGGCTGGGAGGCTCTTAGCAGAGGTCCATCTGGCTGCCTCCAGAGCATCTTGAGGGGCAGCTGCCAGCCTAGGCCTTGCAAACCCCAAGGTGGGGAGGTTGTTATCTCCAGAGGCTGCTTGTCACATCCCAGATCAGGTGGCCATCTGGACAGCCTTCTTTACCTTGGACTGCACTTGAGGCCCTGTAGATACAGCTTGTGGTTGTCCATGAGGACCACCCAGGGCCCATCTGCTGGACAGGCAGGCGTGGTGCATCGTGGCTGGTTTGTTGAGTGATGCCCTCCCTATGTCTTAGCACAGGGGTGGGAGGGCTCCTCGGTGTCCTGCCACATGTGGCCGAGGAAGGCAATCTCTGAGTAGGAGACAGGCAGGCAGGGACTAGGCTTGCAGGTCTGTGGCCCACCTGGTCCAGGAGGGCAGGTTGGGAGATGGGTGGCTTCTTGCACCAGCGAGACCCTTCTTTTGGGCCTTTAGGGTGCCCCTAGAAGGTAAGACCTTGTAGACCCAAGCTGTGTGACCCATACTCCCTTTTGCACTGAGAAACGTGGGTTAGTGTGTCCTCCAGAAAGACCTGGGTGGTGCTGGGGGCTATGGGAGGTGGCCTTAGGAGCCTCAGAGGGTCATGGACATTTATAGATACGGGCAGAGGCACAGGGAGTGGGTCACTGGCATAGATGACCCATGCGGCCAGGAGCGTGAAGGTGACCTTTCCCAGGCTGTGCTGCCACCAGAATGTCAAGTGGGACTGGACCCAAGTTGGCCCACCTGTGTTGCTGGGCCCTGGAGTGAGGGCGGGCATTAGGGGACATGCATGGCAGGAAAGTCTAGCCATCATGACTATGCCTTCACAGGTACTACGAGAGCTTCACCAACTGCACCGAGGTGGAGGCCAACATGGTGGGCTGCTACTGGCCCAACCCCCTGGCCCAGGGCTTCATGACTAGCATCCACAGACAGTTCTTCTCCAACTGCACGGTGGACAGGACGCACTGGGAGGATCCCCCCGACGAGGTTCTCATCCCGCTGATTGTTGTGCCAGTGCTGCTGACGGTTGCCATGGCTGGCCTGGTGGTGTGGCGCAGCAAGCGCACCGACAGGCTGCTGTAGGCTGGAGGAGGCGGCCTCATCCAGAGAGCTGTCACATACTCTGGGCTGGGAGCCGAGGCGCTGCTGCTCTCCTGTCTGGTGTGGCCGCCCCCCATCCAGTCCTGCGCTGACTGTGCCCAGGCCGATCTGGTCCCTAGAGGCTGGCCTGTGTCTGGTGGGCCTTCAGGCTGCCTGCCTAAGCTCTGCACCCTTTCTTGGGTCAGTGGAAGAAGATGTGAGTAGGCTGTAGCTGCGTGTTGGGATCAGAAATTATTTGCTGTTCTCCTAGGCTGGGCCAGGCCTCTGCCCCCAGGCGTCTAGACCAATTTTTAGCCCAACATTCTGCCCCAGCCCTGGCTCTGGCCCCATCTCCAGTTCTGGGCTCTGCCCTTCCCGTAGGCACTGGCCCAGTGGGAGGGCGGCGGCGAGGGTATCTGGAAGATGAACTTGCTGTGGAACTCTAGAGCCTTCCTGGTAGGGAAGAACCCGGAAGACCTAGGGACAGGGGTCCCTGTGGGGCCTGAAGACCTGCCTGTCTGCTCCATTGTGATTCTGTGACTGTCGTGGGTAGTGTCCGTGATCATGGGCCTCCTTCTAGATGGGGCTCCTCGTGGCTGGGGCACCCTTGGAGTAGAGTCCCATGCACTCACATGTGGTGTCTACGCTTTCTCTCAGTAAACAGTTATCCTACTCCTGGGATTTCCTCTTTATTTCAGGGTATTCAGAGACATGGGAGGTCCCTTGGGATTGATGAGGTCCCAGCATCTCAAAACTCAGGGGGCTCAGAGAGCTTTGTAATGGAAGAGTGTGGTGGATGGAAGGGACTGCTCACCTCATTTGCAGCACCCTGGGCTTTTCCCACCATACCCTTTTGGATAAAGGAGAGGATTAGTCTCCTCTACTTCCTCTTCAAGGTTTTCTTGGGACTTGTCAGGATGTCCACCTGGAGAGTTTTCTGGGGAGGTGAGGCCTGGACAGGCAGGCAGGTCTGGGCACCATTGATCTGTGTGGTGAGCCTGCTGGTGAGGTCTGTGTGGTTGGCCCAAGCCTGCACACATGGGGATGGAATTGGAGTTACTCTGAGCCTTGGCTAAGGAGCAAAGGTCACAATCTGAAAGTGAACCAGCTGGTGACTCCAAGCACATCTCCTGCCACAAGTCTTGGCAGACCATCTCAAAGATGGGACACCATTTGGCAGACAAGATTATGAGTATTCCTGTAAGGTTAGTGTGCCCCTGGGCGTGGGACCGGGCTGAAGCATACACCCGTTCTGAAGTGGCGTCCTGGGGCTGGCTTGCTCTCCCTTCCTGAGGATTCTTGGAGCACAGCTTGGAATGTGCTGAGGAACCCCCATGCCCTCGCCCTGCAAACAAGTGCCTGCAGTCCCTTTCTGGTCCCACGAAACCCAGGACCCAGACAACTGCAGCAGAGGGGAAGCTCAGAGCCCTCTCCCCAGCCTTCCGAGCTCAAGGGAATTGCTGTCCCATTTGTCATCTCCTCCTGCCTCTAACCATCATTCCAATAGCACGGCCCCTTCTCTCAGAGCTGAGCATGGTCTGAGCCTCCACCCAGGCTTGGGGAGCAGCCACCTGTGGGAGTAGGGAGGTGGCTGAGAAGGGGCAGGACATGGGAACCTTGCGGTGTCTTCTGTGGGCAGGGAAGTCCAAGGACAAGGGCCTGGGCCAACTGGGGGCTTAGGGGCAACCTGGCAGAAGCAGGGCATAACAGGGTAAGAAGAAGGGGCTGCGGTTAGTCCCCGTGTGGGGGCCACCCTGCTCTTGCCTCCACCTTCCATGTGAGTAGTTTGTCTTGTCTTCACTCCCTTTACCCAGTGTTGTATCTCAGCACCCTTCCTGCACCAGGCCATGCCCTCATCCCAGGGCATGGGTTCCCTCCCTTCCACCAGCGACAGGTCCCTGGGTCTGTGCTTCTGTTCCTGGGCCTGGCTCCTCTTACCTTCCCTCTCACCATCTTGTTTTCCCTTGGCCATCCACCCTGTTGTCATACCTAGATCTTGTCATTACTAAGGGTAGTGACCCCCACAATCTCAGGTTCAGATACCTACCCTCGCCTCCCTGCTGAGCTTTCCAGTGGGCTTCTCGGTCCTGGCACCTATGACTCCCCAGTCTGCTGCCTCTTTCCCACTTGGGCTTTCTGCCCTTCTTCCAACTCATTTCTAGGCAGTTGCCTGTGACTGGGCTTGTCCATGCTCTGTCAGCTGCCTTGGCTTCTTTGTTTTCCCTGGGCTTGCTGGCAGAAACTCAGCTTGGTTAACCCAGCTTCTTACCCCTTCAGGGGCTATGCCAGGGACAATGAATGTGGCCAAGGAACACACACCCTTCATGTGTCAGCACTAACTGCTGTGTAACAAGCACCACAGCCTTCGTGGCTCACAGTGGCACTGAGTCTGAGGTTGTGTCCTGTAAGTCAGGGGTCAGTCTTCCTTTGCTGGTTCTCTGCTCAGCGTCCCATCTGGCTAAACTCAAGTTGTTGAGTGGAGCATGGGACCTTCTTCCAAGCTCAAGTGTAGGATATAGGGTCCCGGTTCCTCGCTGGCTGTCAGCTGGGGCTGTTCCCAGCTCCCAGAGGGTCCCCCCCCCTGTATTCCTGGCTACATGGCCCCCTCCATATTCAAAGTCAGCAAAGGAGACTCCCTCACTTTGAATTACTGTGACTTCTAGACCCAGATTTAAGGGTGTCCTCTGACTACCAGGGTCCTTTCCGTATCTTCAGGTCATATCTGCCAAGTTCTGTCAGCACGATTAGGTTTTGGTTGAATCACAGGGAGGAGGTGAGTGTCCACAGTGGTGGGAGCCCTGCCTGGCCCTGCACGTCCTAGTTTTTACCTTCCCACCGACCTCTGGGCCTTGGCTTTGCATTTTCTCCTTGTAACATCTCCTAACTTACACGCTCAGCTGAAGACTTGCAGGAAACAGCAGTGGCTGAGTGGAGGCACGGATGGTCTAGCCGCTTCCATGCCTGCTGTATGCCCTGCTGTCCTGGCTCCATCTCTATGGAAAACATTTGTGCTTGGGCAGGGTTGGGGGCTGGGGGTTCTGTGGGGCAGAGGTCCTGGGGAGATGGGGATTCCCCAGGGTTGGGGCAGGGGTTCAATGGGGTGAATATCTTGTTGAGGAGAGGGTGCTGGGAAGTCCACTGGGGAACATGGGGGTGCGGACGCTGGGTCCCAGGGCACCATTTTGGGCTGCAGGGGCAAATTCTGTCCTTCCCAACTGCTTGGTTGCTGGCATTCAGGTGGCTCCAGGGTCCTCTGTGAGCAGCCTTTGCACATCGGCCCGAGATCCCAATGTACAGCCACAGTTGCTTCTGGGAATGGCGCCTCCCATGGCTGTTCCACTGGAGCTTGCGCAGCTGCCTCTGGAGCATGCGCCTGGCCATAGAGGATCACTGCAGGGGCCTTCCTCGCGGCCATCTCACCTGACCCTAGGCACAAGGCCAGGAGGTGGGCCTTGACTGACGGAGGTCCGGCTACTAGCAGCACTCACCCTTGGCAGAGGAGCCCAGCTCAGCTGCCACCCTTGTCCTGAGGCTGGGTGGACGGGAGCAGCAATGACCTTTCTTCCTGATGTGGCTCTGAGTGCCATCATCTGAGGAGGTGGCATACCAGGGTTTGCAGAAGTCACGTGCCGGGTGGGCAGGGGCTCCAGAGCAGGCAATTCTTGATGGCACCTAGGGCAGTTGGGGACAACGGGCAGCAGGGGTTGAGCCGCTGCCTTGTGAAGGGCTCAGCAAGGACTTGGCTATCTACAGAGGGGCGGTGCGTCTACAGAGGGGCGGTGCGTCTGCAGAGGGGGCGTGCGTCTACAGAGGGGCTGTGCGTCTACAGAGGGGCTGTGTGGTCTGAAGGAAACTGCCTGTATCTATGGGCCTGTTTCTGCCAGTCTGGGCATAGGGGGCTAGGATGGGCTTCAGTGTCACTAAGCTTCATCCTGGGACCTGGCAGCAATGCTTGTGGAGGGTCCAGACATCCCCCTCATCGCGGGGCATTTAGTGGTTGAAAGCATTTGAACACCCAGCTGGTGAACTGAGCAGTTTTATGACTGTAGGCGACCCAGTTCCTTCTGCCTGTATGAAGAGAAAGGAGTGTGTAGAACTGTACACAGGGCCACCTTCTGGAATGACACGAGAAACTGTGTGCGAGGGCTGAACACACACACACACACAAATAAAAATAAAATTAACCATTTATAGTCTCAGGAAATTATCCGAAAGCCACACAGCAGATGACAAGCGTGTATTAGGACAATGTACCAAACCCAGATGAGAATAGAGAGCTCTCTATCAAGGCACGTTGACCTGCTGTCTCCTGGGGAGGGGCAGGTTACAACGCCCCAGCTCCATGTCACAAGCACTAAACTATAGGCAGGGGCGAGGTGTGATTCCCACAGGTGCTGGTCAGAGAGAGGCGTGCTGGGTGACTCCCAGCACCAGCTGGGCAGTGGCCATGACTGCAGGGCACACTTGTAGGATGAGCCCTGATCCCCACATGACTATCAGAGAAGATTCCTGAAAAAGTGAGAGCCGGTAGGGGACAGGAATAGCCAGAGTCAGGGACTGTATCAACCCTAAGGGGCTGGAGAGTAAGGTGGGCTGGTCCCGGTCACTGGCTCATGCCAGTTGCCAAAAGCAAAGTACACTGGAATGTTGTGCTCAGGGTGCAGCCCGCACGAGGGGAGCTGCACACCCACAGGGGCAGGGGATCTTGAGGGTATCTTGGGAAGGAGGAACGACCCTTCCTGCTCTGTGGCAGGGGACAAGTAGGGAGGGGCCAGGACATCCTCCTGGGGGATCAGGAGGCCCTGCTAGGAAGTGGGTGGGTTGGAGGGACAGACCCCTCCGGGCACAGACAGCCTCTTGCCATTGCTTCTGCTCAGGCCTCTCAGCTCCCAGTGGCCCTCAAGCTGTTTGTGTCCCTGGTTGGCCACTTATCCATGAGGTGGCTTCTGCTCCCTGGGCAGGGAGGAAATTTCCTCTGGGCCTTATGGTCATTGCACAGGGCAGGCCAGAGCTGGCAGGTAGCAAAGGAGGGGGCTGGATGTTCCCAGGCCACATGTGACACCTGGAAGGATAAGGGATGCAAGGCGACAGGACCCATCTCTTACCCAGATGTTGGTTGTTGCCTGGGTGTCCACTGCTGTTGGCAGCCACCAAGAGAGCAGGGTTGAGGAGACAGCAAGGTTCTTGTAAAAACCCATGTTTAGGTAAGATTGGACTCACTCAACTTGAAACAGCCAAAGCAAACGTGATGAGAGGAGGGGATCAGCCAGATCAGGAGAGCAAGGGAAAGCTGGGGAAAAGGCCTCCTGAAAGGAACTGTCCAGGAAGCTGAAGAGATGACCAAGAAGGCCAGTCCTAGTGGCTGACATCCATGATAGTGGCACATCGTTGGTCACTGTCCATCCCTGCAGGAGCCCTTTGGGCAGCCAGCCATGTGCCAAGCCAGGGAGGCATCCTGGACTGCTGCAGTATCAGGCCTGGGGCCTGCAGGGACCACATGTGTCCCCCAGGGAGGCAGCCCAAGTTGGCTGTGACATAGGACCTGGGGGCTGCAGGACCACCGGTGCCCCCAGAGAGGTAATCTGGGCCTGTGTGCCCCCTCAAGGAGACGAGATTGACCAGCTGCAGCATCAGGTTTCGGGGCTGTGGGACCACTTGTGTTCCTTC